CTCTCTCTCTCTCTCTCTCTCTCTCTCTCTCTCCCTCTCTCTCTCCCTCTCTCTCTTGCAGTAGGGATCAAACCCAGCACCTTGCGCTTTCTAGATGCATTGACTCACTAAGCTATATCCCTAACCTTACAGGAGCCCCATTTTGGATAGTTATCCCAGTTTTCTGAGGGTATGCGACCTGTTGATGGTATTTCCTTAAGTCCCAGGAGTATACATGGTACACCTGGAAAGAACATACTGTTTATAATTACTGGAGTCCTCCCAAATGTGATCTACATAAATTGTGAGGCACAAGTAGAAAGTGCCTCTAGTGTACCCGCAAGACGGCTTGTAGGCCTTTGAGTTCCTAGTTCAGTTTGAATGACTGAGTGTAGTCCTTGTTTGTGGAGGGACTGCATGAGGGCAAACTACCCTGTTTGTCTGCCATCAGCCAGGCGGCTCTCTAGAATGACTAGTAAAGGTTATAGGTCTGGGAGTCAAGAAAATATACAGAAGTATTGACATATGTTTTGCATGGAAGATGCAGAAACAGGACCTTTCCCTGTTGCTTCAGTAGGCTTCTTATTAATGTCAAGAAGTCTGCATGGCCACAGCTATCTGGTGGCATTGTGACAGATGCAGAAGTTGCTTAAATTCAAAGGGTGTGAAAGTCTAGGAGAACTTCACTGGTTTTCCTTCATGACGAAAAATCTAGAGATAGTTTTAAAAGACAGAAAATCATTCATGTTTCTCCATTTTCCATGTTTCTTACGGTGCACAAATTCCTTTTCCTAGTGCCAAGATTGTTTAATCTTCCTCCACCACCATCAAAAATAATCTGTGGGTCACCTTCCTTCACCTTTTTCTCAGTCATCTTCTACTCACATCCAGATCTCTTGTCCAGAAAAGTAAGGTACAAAAAAGGTAAAGACATTTTTCTGAAACATATGAACACTCACTATATCTCTATTTTGGTCCACGTGGACCACTATATGGGAATGTAAAAGAGCGATATTCTCAACCAGGATGGTCATTATCCTAGGACTTGAGACCATGTTTATCCAGCCAAATCCAAGTAAATAAAGCAGAATTAAGTTTAAGTCCCTTAGGCCTCCTTTTGGCTGGGCTGCCATTTAGAGGGCATACTAACCAGGCCAGTCTCCAATTGCCATTAGAGGAAAGAAAGAAAAAGTAGTACTATGCCTAGGAATTCCTAGGGTATAACTCTGGATTGTCAAAGTAGGTTAATAAGCTCCAAGCTCTTTCTGTCCTTATTAGTTAAGAAGTAGCCAAGAGGAGATGATTCCTTTCTAGGGACAGCCACAGTTAGTGACTAAAATACCTAGTACCAAAGTACGTGGACCAGGAAGATATGTGGGAGATACAGTGAGAAATCTTACTGAGTTGATTTTTGAGGTGACAGTTCTGTTGCTTAAAAGTACCAGATGCCTGAGAATGGTAGGGAGCAGGGATGGTCCATTAAGGTCCTGGATCGTTAGCTCATGGTAGAGTGGCTTTCAAAATAAAAGGTACACCATAGTCAGATTGCAAGCAGTCCAGAAAGTCAAAATCAAATATAATACATATTCATTCCAAGGGCTGCGATGGTGTAGGAAATCAATTGACTGACCTGGGCCAGTACTGCTGTAAACTGATAAAAATGTCAGCAACAGATGGCACCATCAATATCCCTGACTGGGGGAGTCAAAGGTCCAGTGTATTCATTATGTCAGGAGTGTAGTCTCATTCATTGCAAGACAGATGTGTTGATTTGCATCAGGAGCCACAAGTTTGGCATGCAGTGGTAGGCTTTGCACCAGATACCTAGATTATTGTACGTCAGTCTGTGATTATGAGTGTATACTGCGTCTACTACAGTTAGAAACATTGGAACTGAGAGAGTCACTCCCATCCGTTTTATTCTAAACAGCACCTTGTGGTCACTCCTCTTTTCCATTGTCCCAAGAGAGACAGAAAACAAAATAACAAAACCCCAGGAGATCTCTGGCACACTAGGTGAGAGAATATGCATGTTGGATCTCCTAGCCTGACTTTCAGTCACCTTCACCCTATCCAAACCTCATTTTAGTTTCATAAATATGTACTAGATGTCATTCCTGGAATTAAGGTCAGAGTGAATTCTGGAACAAACCTTGTGTGGAGACCTCCTGAGATGACTCAGTACCTGTCAATCATGCCTAGAGATTCAGGGGAGGCGCCTGGGCCTAGGTGCATGTGCTTTAATTCCAAGTCTGGTTATGGGGGCTGTTGCTGTGTGCTGTGACCTGTGTGCAGTGCTTTTACTTTTCTGTCACCATGGCACCATTTTTCTATCTGTGCTATATCTTTTGTCAGCATGGACTTTCCCCGAGCACAGCTTTCCATGACCTTCAATAAATGTAGCTGCTTGCCACTTGCTACCTCATGTATATTTGCAGGTCATTGCTCATTGCACAGAAGAGTCTGAACTGTACCTGCCCATTCCTTGGTAGTAGGTCTAATCCAGTGATGCACTCAGGCGGCAGTGGTGTCCATCAGGAAAGTACAGGCTTCACCAACAGCTTGACTCCAATCAGTCTTATCAGACAGTGGGCCCTTGACATGAACATGTATGTGACAAACACAGGTGCTTGGATTAGCTCCTATGATCTGTTTTCATAATTCACAGTCCCCAAAAGGAGTGTTTTCAATTTGCCCATCTGTAATTTTCAAAGAGAAGACCAAAGCATTAGGCCACTGGCAAAAGCCCAAGAGTTGGAACAAATAAATATAACATGGTTCAGCACAAGGACTATTGGTCAGAGATATGAGATCAGCCTTGAATTCTGCCTGCTGAGTGCAGTGACCATGAACATATTTGGTTCAGTGTCGTTAACACGGAATGAACAGACATAGTGATACGGGAGATGAAATATGAAAATAAATCCCCCAATGTGTTAGGTGCCTGATATGACAAGTTCATGTTCTCTAAAGTTAAAGAATTCTAGGAACATCAGAGGTTAAGAGTAGGAAGAATTTATTGAGAGAAAGATAGCTTCTAAGAGAGACCAAAGGGGTTTTGAGTGGATGGCCAGGGGCCCTACTTTACAGGGAAGTTTCATAGAACAAAACATGGGCACAACATGGGTTATAGCTATGATCAACCAATAAGGCTGCACATATAGTTGCTTAGGTAACAGTGATCCAATGGGGAAGCAAGTCACATAGCATGAGTATATGGAAAGATCAAGAACTTCTCAGGTCGGGGATTTATCTGAGGGTCTTGGTCACCCATTGAGGTAACTAATGCCTATCGAGCCTTTACTAGACCAGGTGTTATCACTTATCTCATCCTTTGGGGAAGTATATAGGCCTGGTCCTTTTGTTGATATCTTTAGGTTTTGTCCCCAGTTGATGTGTCCCGGGCCAAAGCTATAGTGTTTTCACCCTTTATCCTGACTCTCTTGAAGGCTCAGCCATGTCTGACTGCCTATTATATTTCTATCCAACTTAGCTGTCTATAATATTAGCAGCTTGGAGACCTGTCAGGTTTCAGCTAGGTAAAGTCTAGATAGGCATTAGTTACCTCAACTAGTTTTACACACATAGCCTCCCTGACTCAATACTACAGCTACCATATACACACACTTGAAGGGAGGCTCTGTCTCCTTTGATCGGAGACAGCCCGGCACATTATCCCTGCTATAAAGGCTTGGAGTGGTTGTGGTCTGGTCTCGGTATTTGGCCTTTTTTACATGACATATCTGGTGCCAAAACCCGTGAGGAAGGCAGTCAATTAAGTGACAACCCCCTACGGAAAAGGGTTGGTTGGCCTTTCAACCGCCTGTCTCCTCCAGACCACATCTGCTGAGGCAGTACCTCATCGGGGCTCTTCCTTGGCCATTGCTGATCATACGCATCCACACCCATCACTGATTACAGGGTGAGTAGGTAGGGAGCTTCCCTCTACTCAGGTCCTCTGTCTCATTCTGGTTCTCTCCTTCCAGGGACTTTTCAGAAACCCAAGAGTTTGGTCAGAGATACCCTCTCAGGCCACTGGGCCCAAGACTGTGGCCCTGGGGGACACCTCATTGGCCTGACTCCTCTCATTCTCCCCTTCTGGGAACTAGGAGCTAGCTCAGGAATGTCAAAAGAGACAAATATATTGCTGTCTTTTGTCCTCCTTCTAGAGAACTAACCCCTCCTCATCCACCCTAACATGGGCACCCAACAGTACAAACCCCCTCCTTCAGTGACTCTTGACTGCCTCCTGGCACAGCTTTGTTCCCTTGTATTGTTGGACCTGACTTTAAGCGAAAATGACTCATTTTTTTATTGCAACCAAGTTTGGCCTCAGTACAAATTAGACAATGAATCTCAATGGCCAGAAAATGGCACTCTCGATTTTAACATATTGCACTATTTGTACAACTTTTGTCAGCGCAATGGCAAATGGTCAGAAATCCCCTATATGCAAGCCTCCTTCTACCTACCCTCTCGCCCTTCCCTCTGTCAAACCTGTTCGCCCTCACAGGTACCTCTGGCCCAAACTCTGTCCTCCACCCCTGCCGACTCCCATGTTGGATCTGGCTGATCGCTCACTGCTCACCCTGCCCCCACCCTGTAACCCAGCCAGCTCTTCTTCACTCCTGCCATCTTATGACCCTGTCTCACCTCCTCCATCTTGTGACCCTTCTGCGTCCTGAGTCTCTCCCCTGCACACCTGCTCTCACCCTGCTCCTCCAGCCCCTCCCAAACAGGAAAGGGAGTTAACAGCGACTTCTCTGCTCACTCTTCCTCTTCAGCTTCCTCAGTGTGGGAGCCCGCTGGCATTTGACATTGGAAAAGTAACTTCTTAATCTATGACTCTATTTGGCTTTTCTGAGACAAGGGTCTCAACTAGCAGATGAGATTGACCTGGAACTCACTGTGTAATCCAGACTGGTTTTATGGGATTACAGGCGCGCACCACCAGCCAGGCTCAAGGACTTTGTTAAATTTGACCTTGTGATGGGAGGAACTCAGATAAGCCAAAGATCTGATCTCCTCCCTAATAGTTGCTTGGTGCTTCCTGTTGGCGTGCCTTTAAAAGGAGCTGTTTCTGTGAAATAAATCGGACCTCTTGTCTCCACACTATTGAGTGTGCTGTCCTTTCTCAATCCTCACTCCCCAACTCAGGTATGTTTGTGTTGTGACAGCTGGGCCGCCACACTCAGAACAGAGAGGAAAGCGAGAGACTGTAAAAAACAAGTAAAATCTTCTCCTGGCCCTGCCTATTTACATATCAACACCTTGTTTGGCAGGCTATGTTACCAAGAAATTCCACTGGGCCCTACTGTCTTCTACATAAATATTAGAAAATAAAATATAAGGTTTTAAAACAAGTCAAAGAAAATGGAATACTTAAGATCAGAGGCAAAGTGCCCGCTACAGACTGCTTGCTCCATAGTAAAATCAGCTGCGATGTCCTGCCAGGCAGGAGAATCTTAAAAGTCAAACTATAAATTCTGGCTAATTGACAAATGTACCTTTTTGTCTTCAATTTAAAATCATGTTTGATTGGGGTTTGGTTTCCAGATGTTTACTGATGTATTTAAAATATTTCTTTTACATTGCAAATTCTTTAATTGTCGTTATAGGATTAACTTGACCTTCCCTTTACTTTCTGCTTACAAACTTGTGACAATAACTATAACATAAGATTATGCTACCATTATAAAGCGCTTTTATTTCTTCTGATTCTATTTGCAAGGGATTGCTATTAATCGACCTGCAAAAGTTTTGACTAGTCTTAATTAAAAGAGAGGGTATAATTCAATTGGCCAAATGTATTTGAGTGCACTCTAGTTTCATAAATTGTCTTATATGTTTGTCTATGTCTATCCAATTGTTTGTGTTTATCCAACTGTATTTTTGATAAGTGTTATTAAAGGCATGCCTTCCTTTTCTTCCAGGTTGCTACCTGATCAAAATGATGTCAAACATTAATTTTTATTTAATGCATATTGCTGTCTACATTCAATAACTCAAAAAGTATATGTTTTATTGGTTACAAATAAATTGCTAATTGCTACAACTTGGTTTTATGGGTTAAATAAAAAATTGTCAAGATAATTAAGATATACTCCCAATAATCATTGCTAAATGTGTTGTTATAAAATGTTTACGTTGCTTATCTTTAAAGGGTTGATATCTAAATATGTTACCATGATATGTTTGTATTGTCATCTTCAAAATATAATATTTTCTGTGGAAAAACAAGGTGTTATTAAGAATCCTTTTGGTATCAAGCTACATTATGGACATAAAGGTTCATATAATTGTAATAATTATTATTACTACTTATCTGGTGTACAAAATGTATTCATGTTTTCTGACTATACAGGTCTTCCAACATATTGTTTATGTCCAAAACCTATTCGCCCTTCTCTTCTGCTCCACTTACTCATTATTATAGGTACATTTGTAGAACTATACACTTTCCTTAGATGGCATGCTATGAAAAGGTAATAACTTAAGTAAGAGTTTCCTGGCTTTTTTTCTGTGTTTTTAGAGAGGAATAAATACATTTAACAATGGCTGTTGTATACTAAGATACATATCTAAGTTGGTTACAAAGATAATGTTGTCATGATTATCATGCTAAAATATTATTATTATCATTATGTGTGGTTCCTGATTCCAAATTTTTTGTTAATATTCTACAGGAAATCAACTACTAGAACAACTGTGATTGATAAAAATAACAGTCCTCTAACTATATTTTAGATTCTAGGCTATCCAGATAAAGTTAAGAGAGTTAAGCTCCTACTGTACTACTGATGTCACTCATCTTCTCTGGGTGTTCAACCATCAAAACGCAGAGACCAACACCACAAGGTAACTGGGCTAAGAAGACCACCACTATTTTGGCCCTGGCCCTCCAAGGTAATCAAACATCCAAGGTATGAAGGAACCTTTTCTACAACACCTTACATCTTTGGTGAGTCACCCACCTCCTGAGCAGGGAGACTGCTGGACACCAGAGGACAAATGTAACGTGTGCCAAAAGAGGGTCACCAAGAGAAAAACAAAATGTCTCAAGCTTTCACTGAAAGCACCTTGGTCAAGCAAGACCATGACCCATCCTAATGGCTGTCAGTGACAGAGGAGCTTAGAGGCTTTATGCATGGTTCCAAAATAATACCTAAAGAGATTTAAGTGACCTTGACAGATAGCAAGATATTCATATTGATTAACACAGGTCTCATTTCAACTTTGTCTTAACACCTAGCAGGAAAGAACAACCAAAAGAGGCAGTCAGTGAACAGGCACTAGTGATAGAGAGAATTCTGAGGCCCACCACTCCGCCTCCCTATAAAGGCATAGATCTCCAAGAGGTAAACCAGATAACCCCATCTCAAAAACGATTTCAGCACCTACGTGATGCCACCCTCCACTATCTCCCTGTCAGCATCTCAGACTACTGGATGTGTATGTCCACTTACCCCTGCTCACTCACTCCAGTTCTCATCCCCCTAGATTTCAACCGGTCTGTCTCAAACACTGGCAGTTTATCCACAGTTCTGGGACCCTTCGCTAAAGGTCTCCCATTCCTTACACAAACCACTAACCTGACGTTCACGGGGCAAAATGACAACATCACTTGCCTTGCTTGCCCCCTCTTTATCTCAGAAGAGCGCCTGGTCTGCCTATCCAACAGCCTATACTTCATACGCAGGCAGGAGGCATTCCGATGCCTCAAGCAATCTGAAATTTTTTGTTACATAGCGTTTCTCAGCCCTCCCTTGACCATCTATATGGAATCCCAGATGTTTGAAAGGATCCTTCCATGGTCAAAGGTCAAGAAGAAGGTGGCCCCTCTCCTGGTCCCCTTCTTGCTGGAAGTGGGGGTCATCATTGGCATGGCAGGTATAGCAGGTATCCCTACTTCTACTCATTTCTATCAGGCATTGTCAACAGAGATCTCAGAAGACATCGACAAAATAAGCCAAACCCTAAACACAGTCCAGGACCAGATTAATTCCCTAGCAGCTGTCCTGTTCCAAAATATGCCCTCAACATACTAACAGCAGCCCAAGGGGGAACATACCAGGCTGTAGGTGAAGAATGTTGTTATTTTGTTAACCAATCAGGCATAGTCAAGGCAAAGGTTAAAGAATTACAACATCAAACACCTTAAGAAACAATGGGGTACATGGGAATGACCCAAGGCTACTCCTGGCTCTGACAGTTTATGCCATGGCTACTTCCCTTAATGGGACCACTGACCTGTATGTGTCTTCTGGCCATCGTAGGCCCATATCTGTTCCACGTTTTCAAATTTCTTACAGGAACACATGAGGACACTTACCAACCAGGCAGTCACAGAACTCGTCATAGCGGGGTGTCAGCCACTGCGGCAGAGGGAAGAGGCCCCACCTACTGCTGCCCCCGCCAGATCCAGGTATAGCCCCAACCTTCGCCCCTTTGTTAGTTTGAAGAAGCTCCTGAAAGAGCGCTTCACCCCATAACCATAAAACAAAAGCCTGGAATGTTAGCTTTCCCTCACCTTAAGATGACTGCTACATAAAAAGAATAGCTTTCCCTTCCCATAATGCCCCGCTTCTCACTTAAAAAATATTGCTTCTCCCACTGCAGGGCAGCCTTCTTCCCATCATGTCTCTTTTCCCACCAAGAGAGTGACCTGTACTCGCTACCTCCAGGTGACTAGTGAGGTCACAAGCCCCTCCTGGTAACATCACACGCTCTTACAATCCCTAGCCACTACCTCACGCAATCCCACCTCAGCTTCTGTAAACCCCTCCCAGCCCCTATAAAAGACACTCCCTGTCCAGCCATATTGCTCTCTCCTTTGATTGGAGATGTCCCAGCAAATCGTCCCTACAAGAAAGGCTTGTAGTGATTCTGGAAATCAATTAATCAGTCAATCAATCCCTTAGGGGAAACTGCATGTGGTATAGCACACCTATAATCCCATCATTCTGCGGCTGGAGGATCACAAGTTTGAGGGCCTGAGAGACTTATTGACTTATGGAGCTCCTGTCTCAAAATAAAAAATTTTAAAAGGTTTTGGCACGTAGCTCAGTGTAAAGGCCTTGTCTTCAATCGCTAGCATCACCAAAACGAAAAACAACAACAAAAAACCAAAAACAACCCCCCAGGCACCTCCTAATGGAGGCTCCTTTCCCTTCCCAAAGTCTTCAGTCAGTAAAATCATTAGTCATGTAAACCCTTAGCTCAGAGGGGTATTAGGACTGTGAGGCCAAAAGTAATAACATGTTTCTCCATATAGAGAATTTCCTCTGGAACTTACAGGATGAGGAAACACAATTGTGCCACAAGTCAAGTCCTAACCTACATTCAGACACAAAAGCAACAATCCACTAGATTAGCTCAAGAACACCACACATAAGGTCATGTTGGCTCTGCTTCCCCAAGTGCGCCCTGCAAATCCCGTTACACCTGCACCAGGGCCAGGGCTTCCATGGCTCTAGGTGAAATGGTGAACTGGGCACCAGCATCCAAGCCATGACAGTTTGAGTTATTTCCCTCTTTGACATTAGTCCCCTTTGCTGTCAGGGATCCCTCAGTGTCTTCCCCAGTCATCCATCCTCTAAAGCAGGTCAGGAAGAAGCGGGGGAGGCAAAGGGCGCAGAAAAGAGTGACTGCTTTTAAGCTGTGCAGGGGTTGATTGCAGCCTAACAAAATAAACCCCAAGGTTTTCAGTCCATCCAAAACCCTGTATGAGGCAGCAAAGTCTTCATTTCCTCACACTATTTTGGCTTGAGGAACTGGCAGTCGCATTTTCCAACTGTTCCTGGATCTTGTGCCCTTTTACTGATGTGGGATTGGCTCACAAAAAGTGAACTTTCTGAGGACTCCATGTGAATCCAGAGTATCTGCTGCTCTTTTATCAAAATGACCTCTCTTATGGCAAACATAAATGGTAGGAAAATTTTCCATGATGGCAGAAGTGATTGCAAGAAACTGTGTAGGTTTCTTTGAGTCTGTTTCTTCAGTGGATTACCTCATTGGCACTGTACACCTAATCTGAAGTAGTGAGAGCCTTAATACTAATCTAAATGCCTCAATTATTGTCTCCCACAGGAATTAGTCTAGCTCAGAAAAATCTCTGAGAGCCAAAGCTCCTTGTAACAGTCCAGATGTACTGCCAACAAACAAATAAACTGACAAGTGGCCAAGGAATGAGACCACCGGGGGAGGCTAATGGACGGCAACAAGGCACCAACTTTATTTACCTGGGTGCAGGTCAACTGTGGGCGAGAAAGCCGTCAGTGATGAACAAAGAAAATCAGAGAGCTTTACAGGGGACAGTGAGAGAGGTCTGGCACTCCTGTCACATAACAGGGGTTGAAGCAAGTATCGTGGTCAGGGTCTGTGCGGTCAAGGTCCTTGTGGTCAAGGCAGATGTATGGATGTTATCAGGTAACTTGGTGTCGGGAAGGTATAGTGCTGTACTATGTAATCTTACCTTTTTTTCTGTAACATCCCATCCTATGTTGTATCTGCTCCAAGACAGCACAGCCTATGTCAGGGGAAACAGTACAACTCGCATCTGTCATGTTTTGCTGATCTGTTAAACTGCAGCTTGGAATCAAACAACACATCAACCAGTTCATGGCCACATCAGACCTGACATAACAAACAGACAAACAAACAAGCCCTCCTCCAAGACCTTTTCCTGTGGCCCCAGATGGATTTAAGATTAGCATGATAAGAAAGGGCAGAGCCATAGGACTGCCGGCCATTATTGACAAGCATTATTCACCCGTCCTGTCATCTCCTAAGCAAACAAGCCAATGTAAAAATTTGTTTGTTCTTGACCCCGACAGCAGATTTCCCTTTCATGCTCCACACAGGTGCATGTTTCTTTATCATCTGTTTTGTTTTGTTTTTTTGTACCAGGGATTGAACTGGGGTCCTCGTGCTTGCAAGGCAGGCAGCGGCAACACTGAGCTAAATCCCCGGCCAGTATCGCTTTATCATCCGAAAGAAGGCAAAATGTAGTCCTAGTTACAATAGGCTGAGCTTCCTGCCAACAGCTTTTTTTCCCCATTAAGTTGTAGGAATTTATGTTAAATAACCTACAGTGGATTAAAAGGGAATTAATGGTAAAAATAGAAGATACTTGAGGAGAGATATGAGAAATGGACTCTGCACACACACTAAACTAACAATGCTTCTAAAACTAATGATTATAGCAAAAATGTTTTCACATCAAAATTCTTTTTATGTTTTTTCCCATCTTTTCACATAATTACAAAAGAAAAAATAAAAACCCTAAAATCTTGATTATTTTTCCTCTTTTGGGCAAAATACTCATTTTCCTCTAAATTTACTGACCTGTGGAATTTCTCATTCAATAAAATCCTTTTAATAAAAGACCAGGGTTTGAAAAGAAAAAGATGGATTCTTAAAGGTTACAGAGAATGCTCTGAGCAAAGAATGATGGGAAAATGGTTTCAGTCATTATTTCATTGTCCTTAGAGACTCACTCACCTTTCATCCCTCCCCTACCCCAATTTATATGATCTTAAAGATCAAGAAAAAGGTTTAAATATTTTAAAATAATTAAAAAGAAATAAAAATTCACATTTAAAAAGGAACACTCAAGTCAGGAAGTATTTTCCCAACATGCTTTTCTGTGAACAGGTGTCTGAACCAAAACACTGCCAATGTCACCACTGCTTCAAGTCTAATGAAAATGGTTTCCTGTGACAATAGAGTGACAACTCTAACCGGTGTCCTGGAATTTTGTTCTACTTAATTTTAAATTCCTAAAATGGGGAGAGGGGAGGGAGTTTAGGAATTCATTTCTATTAAAATATAGAAGTTATTGTAAAACTCTAACTGTAAAAAACCCTTGGTGTCAACAGTTGACAAAGAAGTTTGGCCAACCCTTGGGTATCACAAAAATGAGGGCATCACTTGGGTAGCTTTCATTGAGCCTATTTTCCAGTATTACATGCATACAATCACTTTTCCAATTTTTCCTCATTAACAGGCAATAAAGTGGATCTTCATGTATATCCTAGTTGGGCAAACATTTGAGTCAAAAGATTCCAATAGATTGCCTAATAATTTCATAGATTTCCCTAAAATCTCATTAGCTAGGAACCCAAATCCTTCTTTTTCTTGTCTCTGTTAGGATCCTCTCCTAGACACCAAAACCATCAAGAACTGTGAAAGACCTGAAAATTTACATTCTTGAAAGCTAAAGTCTGCCACTGTTTTATGGATGTGGACAGAAGAGAGACTCTTAGGTCAGAAACAAAACTTATTACTCATAGCAACAGCAGCAGACTAAGTATCAGCACTCCCATGTGCCAGTTTCTGAAGGCCACAGAAGGGTAGTTTAAGGAAGGCTAGGTGTCACCTGCATGTTGTAAGATACTGTGGGGATGCAGTCCAAGAAAGGACTTTGAGCTTCAGAAACCCAAATCTTTTATCATAGGCAACAAACACGCCTGCCCTTTGTTTCAGAGAGGACAACTGTCTTCCAAGACTGAACATTTTAAGCTTCATATTCAGTACACCCCGTTGCAAGAATTCTGTTGTTATTGCACTAAGGCAGCCATTGACAGTATATAAGGGAATCTAAGGCAGTCATTCACTGTATAATGAAACTTCACTATGGATATAAGCATGTGAGCGCGCGCGCGCGTGTGTGTGTATGTGTGGTACGGATTGAACCCATGCATGCTAAGTACATGCCATACCATGGAGCTATAGCGCCATGTCCTGAATATGAACATTTGAATCACACACACACACACAATTTTCTGGGGATTGAATTCAGGACTTTCATACTATGTTACATTCCAAGCCCCTTTTTTATTTTTTATTTTTAAGATATGGCCTTATTAATTTGCTAAGTTCTCCATGCTGGGCTTGAATTTGTAATTCTCCTGCCTTCCCCTCCCCAAAAGCTGGGACTCCACGTATGTGCCATCATGCCTAGCATAAATTTCATGCACTTTTTATATGTCACAAAATAGTCTTCTTTTGATTTTTCAGCCATTAACAAAATATGAAAACTATTTTTGGGGGTTATTTTGAAACAGGGTCTATGTAGTTGAGACTTACCTGGAACTCACTATGTAGCCCAGGCTGGTCTCGAACTCACAGCAATCCTCCTGTCTCAGCCTCCTGAGTGCTGGGATTACAGGCATGCACCACCACACCCGGCTTGAAAACCACTTTTAACTCACAGAAAAACAGACAGCAGGACAAATTTGGCCCATGTGCCCCTAAAGAATAATATTTTAATAAATTAGCATTAATTCAGTTAAGAGATGACAACACTTTGTATCTATATTTTATTACTTATTCTTTGTAAGTACCTGCTCCTCAAATTGGGAGAATCACTTAAGCATTAATGTTTACAAAACTGTTAATGGTAGGACCTTTCTAATAGCTGCCAGTTAGGTTTAGGGGAAAATGCTGTTTACAAGATAAACTCAGCTTTTGCAGAAGAGTAAACACCCTGTTTTAATTGAGCCAAGTACCCTATTTCAATCTAGGATAACTCCTAAAGAGTCTACCTCTGTTGAATACATAAAAGCAGATGGTGCCATAGCTTGAAGGGGATAAAAAGGAGTTCTGTGTGGAATAGATAACTTAAATGTGGGAAGCAAAACCATAGATTTTAGAAGGTAGGAAAGGATTTCTTAAATAACATAAAAAGCATAAATCATAGAGAAAATACTGACACGGTTAAAAGAAAAAAATCATGCAAAATGAAAGATAAGTCATATGCTGAAAAATAAATGTGAGAAACATATAACAAACAAATAATTTGCTTCCAGGATATATCAAGAATGCTCACATATAAATAAGAAAAAATAAAATACCAAAAGGAAAAGTGTCCCTTTCCCTCAAATGGGAACCTCTAAGAAATGCTGAATCTCTTTAGTTTATATGGAAAAAATGCAAATTCTAAACAAGATACGATTTCATACCAAGTATATTGGCAAAAGTACATTTGACAATAGTGTCAAGGACATAAAGTTTCATATACTGCCATTGGCCACTGGGAAAGTCAGTTGGTATAGCCATGTTGGAAAATAACCTGATAATATGTAGTAAAGTTGACGATGATTTGTGTAAACCACAATCCAAAAGTTTCATTTCCAAGTATAAACCTTGGATTCCCCCACACCCACGTTCACAAGAGACATGTAGAAGACATTTTAACACTGTTCGTAATAAAGTGGGAAGTCATCTAATATTCACCTGTGGTATTCCTATAGTGGAACATATGAAGGTATATAAATATTAGCAAATTATAGGAAAAATAAGAAAACTAGAGGCATAGGTATCAACTTCATAAAACCAGCGAAAATATAAGTTGTATGTCACTATGCATAGTACATTACTTATGTTAAATTTTTTAAATGCAGAAACAATATATGGCAGTGTAAAAACATGCATAGAAAAGAGGACAAAAATCAGGCTAATAATCACCTTGGAGAGAAAGAGAGGGCAGGGACTGGAGTTGGAGAACGACACCCTTTTATAACTTAAGCTCAGTGAGGCTACACAGATGTTTACTGTTTCTCTAATCTTTTGTACCTCTGAAGGTCTTGTTACCTCTGAGAGATTTTTTGGTTTTGTGTGGTGCTTGAGATTAAACCTAGGGCCTTGTACATGCTGGACAAGTGCTCTACCACTGAGCCATGTCCTTGGCTTCTGACGCATTCTCTTTAACCTTTCAGAATGAAGCAGTCCCCTTCCCTTCTACTTCCTGAATAATTCAGTCCTCCCGTCATTAGGTGAAAGCAGCAGTGCCGTGGAGAGCAGAGGGGCATAGTGGCAGGTGGAGGTCAGAGCCTGGGCAGGGTGAAGACATCCTCAGTGAAGTGGGTGGCAGCACTAGTGGGAGATGAGCTACAAACGGGGAAATTAAACCGAGAAGTACAGTCGAGCACCATATTTGACAAGTTATCAACTTGCTCAGATGCATTTCTGACCTCAATAGCAATGCTTATGACAGTCGCATAGCCATTCACAGACGTGGCCAGAACAGCAAGACACGTGGGTCACTGGAAGCTCCTGTTTCCAGCAGAGGTCAAAGCGCTGCTCTGCTTCCTTGCGTTCTTAACAGTCTGTTTAGGGCCATTTTACAAAGCAGGGGTAAGGGGAAGAAATGAGAACCAAGAGCTATCATGTAAAGGTACAAGAACCCAATGATGAACGTGACTGTGCTGTATACCTAACATGTACCAATAAACTCAATGAGAGAAAAAACATTTTTTTCTTTTCCTTGTCACTAATTGCAATCCTATCTTCTATTTCTGAAATTCTATTCTCACATTGGCTCATTTTGCTGCATAAACTTCCATTTTTGTTTTTGTTTTGTTTTTTTGAGACAGGGTCTCACTGTGTAGTTGAGACTGACCTGGAACTCACTTTGTAGCCCAGGCTGGTCTCGACCTCACAGCAATCCTCCCACCTCAGCCTCCTGAGTGCTGGGATTACAGGCACTGCTGCATAAACTTTCAATGGAGT